CCTTAAAGATCATCTAGCCCACCCCCCCTGCCATGGGCAGGGACACCTTCCACTAGGTCTGGTTGTTCAAAGCCCCATCCAGCCTGACCTTGACAGGTTATCCATCACCAGCAATATATACGGTACAACTTCCACTGAATCTTTTTGTACTTCCCACGTATTTATTAAAAGAGTAATATATCTTGAACTTTTCTTATGGTTCAGTTCAAAAAAAGTTCCTAGGCTCCACATTTTGTCACCAGCAGGAAATTGCTGGAAGTTGCTCACCTGAGCATTCCTTGGCAGATCTTTTAGATGAACCTGTTCTAATCTGTGGCTTCAAGCAATGAACAAAGGGTTTTCATGATAAGAGGCATAAATTATCTCAAAAGATCTAAAACACACATACAAAAGACAAGACGAAAGAGAAGTGAATACCTCACCTCCGATCAGTGCCTTGAAAAGGTAGATACTATAGAAGAACAACATAACCATGGTGTTCTTCGTAGTACTTAAAATAATTTGAGATTGTAGAAAAAAGGCAAGAGAACCTTTATGATCAGTGAGACATTTACATTAAGCACTTGCAAATGTAACGCTGATGTTTAGAAAAAAGATTATGGCAAGCGTATGAGATCTTGTGAGAATTTTTTTCTCTGCTTGTCCCATGTTGCTTGTTAGAGGTTACTGTGCATGTTTCAAGGAACCTGAAGTAAGATAGAATCTTTTAATGAGACTTTTCTCGTGATTTTGTGTCATAGGAGGTGAAAATAAGATTCCTCAGTCTTGTGGTGGTTGAATTTCCTCAGGGAAAACAATAACCCTCATGGCATATCCAGGGCTTCAGATTCTCCATGATGCTACTTCTGGTGTCATGGCTTTTTGGAAAAAAAAGTTGTCTTCTGGGACTAGCGGTCATGAGCTGTTGGTAATGACACTTTCTTTTGAGCTCACACTTGACTGTGAGATAGGAAACAGCTGCTGTCTGTGTATTGTCAAATGGAAGAGAGTAGAGCTATACCTCCAATTTGTTCTCTTTCTCCAAAGAAAATGAGCTGCAACTGTGGCAAGCCAGTAGCTCTGTGAATAGCATAATTTTTGAAGCATTATTTCCAAAGGACTTTATCCCTTGGAACTTTCTATCCCATTGTCTCCCGGGCTTCCTTACCACATCCTTACTAAGCAAGTCAAAACTTGTGCTGGGTGAACCGCCAGCTGCTGCCAAACAGAATATATATAAGCTGGATCCTACCTGTCTTTTCCTTTACGTGAAAGCACAACTTGTGTTTATTTTTTTCCTGTTCACTGCGAGTAGAAAAAAAAAATTACTGTTTTAACTTAAACCAACTTTGGAAGTGGATAGAAGCTGCTCAATGGATTAAAAAGTTACTGGAAACAAAAAGGATGCAGTACAATGACACAGCTGCTTAATTTATTTAGAAGCAGAATATGTATTGTTTCCTGACTTTTACAAATCATGGTGTCAGTTTATCCTGTCAACTTTTGAAATTTTATATCTGAAAACTCAACAAAACTTTTCCTGGTGGGGTTGAAAAGTTTGCCACATGCATTTGGTGTGGTGGGTGGAAAGAGGGAAGAAGCCTAAAGTAATATTGAAATTAATGATGAGCCTCTTACCTGCTGAAGGGTTGTCTTCACTTCCCTCTGTAGCAAAAATGTGCAATTGCAGCCAAACATGAGTACATGTACAAAAAACAGCTTAGTAACTATGTTTTGTGTCTGTAATTGCAATTTGGTGATGAAGAAAATAAATAATTGCAGAAAACTTCACAAAGATGGCTTCTTTCCCTTCACCCTCTGGTTAGGACTGGCCTTGAGCCCCACATTACTGCTGAAAAATTGATTTGGGAACTTTCCATGAGGACAGACATTTCTGTCACAATCTTTGTTGCTATCTTAGAACGGTGTTTATAGAAGGAAGGGGAATTGCTCATATAACCAATTGTAAAAGCATTCATTAGTAAATATTGATCCAAACCAAGCTCTCGGATATAAACATAGCAGAATCCGAGACACTGTTCTGCAAAAGAGCTTTTAGGAGTCTTCAAGTACAAAGTTTTGTTGTTTGGCTTATGCAAAGTTAAAAGGAAGAATCAATCTTGATTCAAAGTTGCTAATAGCTTTGTCTTTATCATGGCCTAAAGGTAGGTAGGATTAAAAACAACTCCTAGTTCATCTTACAGTCTTAGGATGTCTTTGTATTGTGAATTTATTTTGGAATAATGATGGACAACTTTTTGCATGTCAGTATTATAATGCTATCAGGCACTGAATTTTTTGAATAAGGAGCAATTAGAATTTCAGGGAGTTACAGCTGCAGTAACAAATTTTGCATCTGAAAAGGCCTTTGGTACCCAGCTAATCTGATTTTGCTGGGAATCTGAGGATTTTACTCTTATACCAAAGCTGTTACGCAAGAAGATGCTAGGACCTCCTTTGCTACCAATCATGTAACAACTCACCTGTGACCCTGCACTCGATGCTTGTTGACCCCCATGGCAGCTCTGGCATGCCCCTAGCAGTAGGAGCAAACACTCCTAATTGAGGAGAAGGCGAGAAGGATCTACTCTCCATGTACCTTTCCTCCTGTCAGAATAACAAGCTTGTCAGAGAATTGAAAAGGAGAGAGGAAAGGAGAAATAGGACACTCAGTGCGGATAGGTAGGGACAGTGAAGTATGTTGTTTACTGCACTAGTATTGGTGCTTAGTAAATCTCGTACCATCTGTAACTGCACTTCTAAATAGTAATGCTGCTGTGGAGTAGGCATGTTGTGAGTTACTTCAGTAACTCAGTGCTCAGTATAGATACTTTTGTGTCAGTTTACAAGAAGATGTGAAAATATATCATCAATATTTTGCTTCTGTGATTATAGAACAGGGGAAACTATTTCTTATGCCATTGTAAGATGCATCTCTTGTTCTGATTTGGGAAGAGTAGGATGCAATGAGTCTGCTTTCACAAATTTTACCACATACCTGAATGGTCCAGGAATGACACAAGTTGTGAGAAACCATTTCTTAGCTGAGTGCTGAGTAGTTCATACTAAACATCTTTGGCATTCTGTCTGCTGTTAAACATCTTAATTTTATTCAGTAATAGCATGAGAAGTGGGGATCACATTTTTCTGCAGGCCATTTGAAATTAATAATGGGCTGATTATACATTGTAGATTTTCCATTCATGATCCAAACTCTAAGTTGAACAGAAAAGGAAGTTACCATAAAATAGTAAATGTCACTATTTAATTTTTTGATTGGCTGCAGCATTAGACACCATGCACATCCACTGTAATAGCTACAGTGTTGAATACATTTTTCTGCTGGAAACAGCTGGCATCTTGCTGAAAATGTTACCTGTCTTACAGATGCTAAGAATCCAAACCACACATCTGAAATCTGCCAAACAAGAGACCTGCAGAGGTGCTGTAGGCCTGTCCAGTGCCATAGGACATCAGAAACTTAGCAGAGCTTTTCATGATTTCTTGACTAAGTACGTTTTTTCTTGATAAAGAAGTATTTATTTTTCATATTTTAAAGAGATGTTTCTGCTACTAATGAACGCAAAAATAAGTATTAAAATAGTATACATAAAATGTTACTAATTTTTTTTTAATTCTTAGGTAAATTAAAAGGTATGCAGGCTTTAGAACAGAAAGAGCATACTGTCCCTTTACTGCATACAGCAACTTCTTGGGCTTTTTGTAAGGATGTTCAGGAATGCAGTTCAGCTTTGAATTTCACAGGCTTTCTGTGGGGATAAAAGACATTCAGAGAAATAGAAGGCATGTGTCTTTTTCCTGTTGTGCTGTGGAGCCAGTCTCTAGTTAGTTTTGATTCTTGCTTGTGAGTTTGGTTTGAAGTAGAACTTTCACCATAACATTATTTTCTTAAATTTATCAAACACTGACAGATAGAATTCTAGCCGTCAAAGTATTCAATACAACAAAGCAAAAATATTTCAGTTTCTTCCTTTTTAAGAACTTTGCTTTCTTCCATGTCCCATGTTCAAATTCCTGCAGCACCTTCTGTTACAAACTCAGGCTTTTTGCATACTGCTTTTATTAGAGTAAGGTTGTCATCTCGTGCAAAATGTGCTGGCATGTTAGAATGAATCTTACCTCTTCCATTCACACACACAGTTTTTACTGTTTCTTAAGATTCTCTTGTAAACTTGAGGTAAACAAACTAAGCAGTGTGATGTGCAACTTCAGAAGGGAGAGTTAGCTAATTTGACAGAACCTATGCTGCTCAGTTACCAAAACCATAGGAATGGTGCAAGTTAGGCATAGTTTTTCGATGAACAGGAAGAGAAGCAGGAACTTACTCATTAGGAGAGAAGTTGTCTCTTTCTTTACACAGATAATTTTTCTCCTTCTGTTTGACTATACTCTAGAAATACCTAATGTACAGATTTTTAGGGCAGGAGAGGCAAAAGAGCTACAAATCAAGATACATGTCCTTTTAGAGAGCTCTGTGGCAATGGCTGAATATCACCTGCTCCGTTCATAGTTCCAGTAACTACCGTTAGGTTCCCTGTTACTCTGGAGAACATACTTAGCTTCAGCATCCTAAAAAGAGGATTATAGAAATTATTCCTGTTACCTAATGGGGAAAGAAAGCAGACAAAAAAATCTGTGTACAATTGCAAACTACATAATCTGCAACAGAGACATGGAGGAAAAGGTATGTTAAGCTTTTACTGCCACATCTAACGTAAGTCTATGTTTGTTGAGTAAATGTATGGACATATACATCTATGTTTTACAGTAACCCTGATAAAAAAGCTTAATATTGCAGCTTTCACTTTTTTTTTAATTCTAAAATTTTTTGGTGAAATGCTGTGTCTGTTAGCTGCTTACACCAAGAGTTCAATTTTGAAACTATTGTCTAGGTATTGGGGCAAGAAGAAGGAATTCAAGTGAGCATGGAATTTCAATATCGTCACCTTGAGGTGTCATTTCAGTGTTGGTCTGTGGATTGGAATTGCAGTAAAAAGCCTAAATGTGTTGAAGTCAAAAGAGCTTTTGTAGGAGAGGACAACTGTTTCCATCTGTTAATTCATTGTCTGATTGTTTAAAGAGATTGGTTATGTTTTAAACAGATGTATTAGTCTTCAGTTAACTAAAAAGCATACATGTTAGTTCCTATGTGCTGTACTTGCCATTTAAATTAGATGACTTCTTCAAAAAATGTCTAGGGGAAAGATTCCCTATTACTCTTATTGAGCCTAAGCCTGAATTTTATGAATGCAAAAATATGTATTTTAGACAGAATTTTCAATATTTTAGACAGAAATGTGAATGAGCATTAAATATTGTACTTAAATTTCTTGGAAACCAAATACTGGGGTGAATGTGCAGTAAACTCAGAGTGAAAAACCCTAATCTTGTTGGAGCAACCAATAACTGCTAACTGGACAGTATTTGGATACTTACTAAGCACAAACCAGTTTTGTCTAAACACTCTTGCTTAGTTCTTCAGTGTAGATTTGCCAATAATCACTTTGAACTTAACCGATTTGCAGGTTTTGTATTTTTCTGAAAGTTCTAATTAGCATGCCTCTTTTACAAATGCTTATTTTCCATTCATTTTTATCAGATTACATTTGGCAGCAGTGGGAAAACAAATTATTTCAGAATAAGTTGGAAAATAATGTAATTATGTGTATGTTTTAATTAACTTTTAGCAATTGCTTTGACCTTCAGGTTGGGAGTAGTCCTGCATGTTTTATTTCATATTATTTTTTTCAGTATTATACTCCTAAAAATTAGATTTAGACTGGGAAAATAAGAATTGCAGTACCTAATGGAAACCTTTAGATAATACACATTTCCAGCTTTTTAAGACCTCTTCATTAAAGTTTAATAGATTGATTTCACTTTTCTATGATGGGATTTGAAGCCTACATTACTATTTTAATGTAGGCTTTTACCTTTTTATCAGCTCTTGCTTAACCACAGTTTAACTGCAGTGTAAGCTCTTGTTCACATTCTAATATGAGAAAGTCAGGTAAACGATCAGGTATCATTTAGCATTTGTTTCTTTGGTTCCAGAGAACATAATCATCCATAAATTTTAAAATATTGAGGAGGAAAAAAGAAAGTAAGACTGTTATAGAAAGACTGTATAGTCTGCAGCACGTTACACAAATGCAGTTGTCATTTCTTTAGAATATTCTAATAATTTATCTGTGTTTGCCCACATAAATTGATTATTGTAACAGTAACTATGGGGCAAAGTTTAACAACTTGCTGGTGCTACAGTGGCCTCTTGTTTTTATAACACACACAGATGAAATCATGGGCACACTGCAATCAGAGGTAGAGTAATCATTTTGTAAATACTGAAAGTCTAGGGAAGATTAAGCTTTGGTTTCAGTGATAAGTCTGTTCAGATCAACTGGAAGAGCTTTTGTTTCACGCTTTCTACCAACCCAGGGGGACAACAGTATGGGGTTTATGTTCTCCTCCTGCAAGTTTTTTTCCCCCTAGAACTGTGGTATCAGGCGGTTTGTTTTAAATGGAAGTATATGAGGCAAGGGGAAATTCAGCAGGTCCTCCATGGCACATTGTTGTATCAAAACTTAGGATGTAATTTATTATAGTGCTACCCGGGGATTGCATCATTAAGTGGTCCATAATTCTGTGGTGCTGTCTGCAAAGACATGGAATAAAACAGTATCTGAATCAGAGAATGTGGGAGTGGTGGAGCAAATAAAAAGTACAGAGGTAGACACAGTACAAAGTCTTGGTTACGCCTGTTATTTTCACTGTAGAAAAAAGTTTAGGGTCAGTGCATCTATTATGGCTATGTCTGCTGAGGCTGAATACACATTTACCAGTGATCAGTAAAAATTTAGGCAGTCGTCTTGAGTGTGCCCTTCCTTTCAGCACATGGAATTAAATACTCCTATAAAGTGCAAGAGTTGTTGATGACCAGAACTCTGAGCTGCTTCCTCTTTTTTTTTTTATTCTCCCCATATGTAGTAAATTTAATGCTGACCAAAGTGCAGAACTGACAACTTTTGTCTATAATCAGGGTGGCAGGGGCTGTGCAAATGTTATGGCCCATCAGGATTCCCTTTCTCAGTCACATAGAAAGTTTTTCACTCTAAAACAACAGTTACTAAAGCATATTAAACTTTAGTTTATACTTTAGTATATTAAACTTCTATTACCATGTACTGTGCCATAGATTTCTTTTTACTCCATCCGCAGGCTCCTCCCTCCCTCTCTTCTCACCCCAGAAAAAGGAATTGTTGCACCGTGCCCTGCTCCTGTGATGTAGCGGACTCACTGATGGAGTCTTCCAGAGGCAACTGGAGACCATTCTTTTCCTTATAACTCCCTGTTTTGCCCCAGTATCCTCTGTGCTGACAGCTACACTGTTCAGATGCGGACTCGGATAGGAATACATTCAAATATCTCTAGCTGTAATGTTTGTATTCTAACTACCATTAGTATTTCTAATGCATGCCACCACTGCTAATCTGAACACAAGAAAATTTTCAAGAGTATTCATTCTTTATTTCTATAGTGTATTATATGGAACTATTTTTACTGAGATACGATATGATCAGGGAAATAATACTGAGGCATTTTTTTAAGTTCTAATTTTGGGAAGGATTTAAAAGAGCCTTTGGGCATGTAGCTTTCAAAGGTAAAATCCATGGTCTTAATTTCTAAAGACTTATGAAAAAACTTGCTCTTGCAAGTTGTGCTGAATACAATACCTCATTAGTGCTGCAGGTGATGTGATAGTGCTCCACAACTACCTGGAGACAGGGGGAGGGGGTAAGGGGAAGTGTAATTACTTAAGTAACACAGAATGTAACTAATAAGGTGTTTCCACCATCTCAGAAATGTGCCAAATGCAGATGTAGAAAATTTCAGCGAATATAATTAAAGCGACAGCTTGCACTGTCTAAAACAAGAATAAAATACCAGTGCTGATTGTTTTCTGCATTTGCAGTCCAAGTTAGTTGTCATTTCACCAGCGTGTGGACACAGTCTAAAAGATAGCATCAATTTCTCCATGTGCTGAAATTTCTTTGTAGTGGGAATGAGGCTCACAGGATCTACATTAAGCCAGTCAACGTGTTTTAAAAATTCCAGTTAATTACTTCTGGATCAGAGGAACCCAGTTTAACCAAATGAACTGCAGCCCACCTATATTACAACATTTTCCAAATAGCTTGGTATGTGAATGCAGTATTTTTAAAAAGGATTCCAAGTAATGTGTGACTCTTACAGCAGCTTTTAATTACATCAGTTCAAGCAGCTGGGTGTAAATCGCCCTTTTCTGTAAATTCATCTGGGCCATAAGAATGACTTCAGATGTGAAATGTGAAGCCATCTAGTTCAGAAATAAATTTTCATTTCCAGTTTAAAATTGTGAACAAATTTTAAAATATGCATGTCTGTCCGTATAAAGTGACTGTATAGATAAATGTGTAATGCAGAGAACATTTCAGTGGAATGGCGTCTGTAATTACAGCAATGCCCTATGCTGTAAACCTGGAGAAACACATGAAGAGCCCAACAAAGAACAATTATATGCTGCCCCTATTGATTGACTAATAACACATTTCATGAGTATACATTTACAGTCCCTGCTTAAGAGGAAGCAAGTGTGCCCTTCTGCCATTTTTGTACGTTGAAGTACCCGATACCGCCAGCCTCCTTGGGAAGCAGCTGCAAGAGAAAGCTTGCAGGAATTCATGGGAACCAAGCTCTGGCAGGCACTGTGCTGTGAGATGTCGAGAGCAGCTGTCTCTCCCGGAGGACTGATCAAATTAATCAGTTGATAGGGAGTATCTGGCTTTGCTGAGAGGCAGCCACTCCTGGATCCGGCCCCGTCGCGTTCCTAGACCTGCGGGAGCCAGGAGACACTGCCTCTTGTAGGTCGTAAGAGTTGTCTCTGCAGGGGAATTGTGAGTTTCCTGGTTTCTGGAGTCGGCCAAAGCTTGTGCCGAGTACAAAGGCAAGAGTCTGCTGATAATGATTGGCAGTGTTTTGACCTTTGTGAATAATCTGTCCGTTATTTATGACACAGTAGAACAGAAATGATGACTCAGCTAGCTAAGCTAAAATACTGAGAACATGATTTAGCAAATACTGTGGCTCAGGAGGAAATCAGGTAGCCTCACCTTGAGGAGCTGAAGGCTGGATTTGGGTGTCAGATCACTGCTCCACTCATGTAATGTCCCTTCTCCGTGTTCTCACTCATCGCAGAAACCTCCTGCATGTCAGCTGCTGCGTGTAGTTGCCATTCACTCTTTACCTTTCTCTACTGCATGCCTTCCCTCTGCATCTTAATAATCACATTTTCACCCTGTCCCTTTTTTGTCTCTCAGGCTATTGTAACAGAAAGGGCGTGAAGAATGAGGGAACTGGCTTGGGAATTTTGCTCCAGCAGAAGGATGGCTGATGCAAAAGATCTCCTGCTTCACGCAGAAGTAAAGGAGAGAGTAGCACACCCACTCCAGTAGCTAATGCTGCCTTTGAGGCCATGCCCTGAAGGATGCTGAATTCTCTCATACAGGCTGCAGAGGCAGAGTTGTTTAGTTGCTCCTTGAGCCTCTCCATGCTGTTCCTTCTTAATGGGTAACTCTGCACCCACGGGTGGCCTGTTGAACGCCATTAACTTAGACATTTAAGTTAGTTTGTGTATCTAGTCCTCTCTAATGCATGTATTCAGGCTGGCAGTTGTATGCATGTTCAGGTATTGCTTCATATGATTCATGAAGACTTGTATGTAACCTAAGGTTATGTTGGTTTTTTTGTTACTAGTTTTTAGATCTCAGTATCAGAAGGGTCGTGAATGTTCCAGTGACTTTGCTTCTACTAAAGCTTCTCATTTTTCTCTCTTAATTTGCTGTTAGTCAATACTGAACTGAAATATTGTGATTTTCTTTTGTAATTCTCCTCAACTATTTAGAGAAATTTGATTATTGGAGCTTCAAAACATGAGAATTTTGTGACATAGAGAGAAAGTGCACATATATCAACAGAGATGTGCCTCAGGCTATGGAAATGGGAGCTCTGATGTGCTCTTAAGTCCCACCAAGTTGTGCCTGAAGAAGGAAACTGAGATGGAATACCTTTCATAAGTGCTAAATACTTACACTTAATTAAATACTACTACTCAGCCTTCTGGGTTGAGCAGTATGAAAAAATACGAATATTTAGACACAAATTTGTCAGAACTCCAGAACGAAGAGTGAATTTATTGTGTCTGCTTTGCCTTTTTTTTGGAGTTCAGACTAAATAGGATTTGCAAATGAGGGTAGCTGAGCAAAGAGAAAATAAGGCTGTTTGAAGTAAGCTATTGCCTAGTATACTACCTGGTGCTGTTAAGTTGACCAAAATGTCAGTTGAGACATCTTAAGTTGAAAAAACCCAGAACAATAAAACTGCAGTTTCAGGCAGCTGGATTATTTTCACATTGTAAGAAGAATAAGTCTCAGATTTGGGACTAATTATTAGAAGCTAGAAATCACAAGGACTAGTAGGCAAATATTTCCACTAAAAATTCAGTGAACCTATTGGAAAAAAAAAATGTTGCTAGTCCATTATTTATTGGAATGGTGATGTGGCACTTGCTGGAAATCAGCATCAGCTGTCTTTCTTCCAGATTTTGTACTTGGTTATGGAGAGTACCTTCTCTCCCCCAATAACGTTTATACTTCTGGAAAAAGATTGCTTCACATAAGCAATGATAGTTGCTTATAAATTAATGAATAAAGAACATGTTGGCCACACAAGACTCAGACTTTAGTTAAAATAGGAAGGTTGTGATGCACTTACTGCCTATTACTGATATTTTAAACTTTAGCAAACAGCCAGAGACTGTAGCAGTTTCTCAAAAATTGTTTCGTCTTACTGCCAGTAGGCAGATTAGTTTTACTATCAAACAATAGAACTTTACTACTCAATGCTAAGGCAATTCTTCCATTTGTCCAGCATTTTCCATACAATTAGGACTTCTAAAAATGTATTTAAAGATTTTTTAAATTTAAAAAGGTGATTTGAAAATAAAATGTTACCTTTTTGTAGTTCAGTTAGGCTTAATTGTATGTATTTTACAAATCTGTTGAATTTTGGGTGTAGTCTTCATAAAGCAGTGTATTAACAATCCTCCTACATATTTCTTGTTATTCTCTGTCTTGGCTGCCACTGGTTTACTTGTCAAATACTCTTCACCTCCACCTTCACCACCACCACCATATTCTATTGATGCAAACCGCAGTTACACGTATTCTTGGCCAGGAGGGAACATCTGTTTTCTGTAACTCTTAGCCTGCTGCTAATGGCTTTCCACAAACTGGCTTTGGAACAGGTGCCTGGGAGCAAAACTGTAAGGTTACCGTTTTGCCTGCTGTTTCTTTACCCTTCTTTGGATGGATTGAGAAGGAAAAACTCCATTCTTCCACTGTTGTGTGCAACAGGCTGTTAAAAGAGTTTCTGGCTCACTGGCATTGTAGGTTTCTTTTTTGTTTTTAATGGCTATTGTCTAGGGGATCACCTGTTTTCTCCAGCTTATGCAGTGAGGGAAGTTTTGTACTGCAAAGATATAATTTTTCTTTTCTAATTTTCTTCCGTAGTCTGCCATCTTCAATTTTCAGAGTCTACTGACTGTAATCTTGCTACTCATATGTACGTGTGCCTATATCAGATCCTTGGCTCCCAGCTTACTGGACAAAAATAAAACCGGGTATGTAGTCTGATCATTTTAAAGATATACAAGCTGTTTGGTTTTAACTGCAATGTTTTAGTAACTTCTAATGGTGTGTGATAATACAAATCCTATTTTGAAAAAATTTTCTCTTCAAAGATAAAAATCTTCATTTTGTACCTTACAATAGAATGCAGTAAGGTATTTGCAAGCACTTAGTTGCAATTTTATAGTAAGAATTTATTAACTAACAAAGTCAGCTAATATAGCTTTATTAGTTATTTTCTGGATTTGCAACTTTCTTGTTGGATGCTTATTAAAGATACAGAAATGAGTGACAGAAAGAAAACATTTTCCTACATGCGGCTATTACTGTAATGATTTCTTTTTGATTCTTAGGGTGGGTAAGAAAACATTACAGTAGAAGCTGGCTTTTTTTCTGATTTCAAGATAGGCATTTTGGAGGTACAAGTTTGAAACACAGCTTTAGCAATAATCTGTAACTAAAAAAAATTGAAAATTTTTTTTAAATAAGCAACACTATTGTGATGTATGATCTCTTTAAGTCATCGTTTTGTATTCTCTAAGATGAAGAAATTTGTAGGTGAGTTTTTGAAACCTTCTACAAAACCTAACCTTTTTTTTTTGTCCTTTGGTCATTCTCACTTCATCTCTCACTTTCATTCCTAAAGCACATGTTCCTAGGTGACCAACTTTTTTCTCCTTTGTGTTCAGTATTTTCCTGGAATGCGCTTAATGTTGCAGGGCCAATACTGCTGCAAAACAGTTCTTCTCTACCCTGCTTGCCAGTACAGTTTTTGGGGGCGTGGGAGATGGGGACAGCCACAGAGCCAGATCTATGCCTCACACTGTTAATACCCATTCACCTTTTGGCTTACCAGTTTTCTTTGTGCTATAAAGAGTGTGACTGGATGTTAGGTGCAATCAGCAGTATGCAGAACTGTTATTTAAATGCTGTGGTTTTAAAGTAATGATTGGACAATTTTGACCTAGAAACCACTGAGACTATCTGTAGTATTTCAGTAATACTGTCACCTGAGGTTAATACAAAGGAGATAATATTTATAGAAGTAGGAGGTAATTCTAGCTAGTAATGTTCTAGCTGGAAAAAACAGACAGGCTTTTGGGCACTGGGTGTTTGTCTTGTCCATTTTTTCCATTAGGTCATTTGCTGTTAAAGAAAATGGTTTTTCCCTAAGTACCTTCTGTCACTTCTGCATCAGGAAAAGTGTCATGTTTTAAGTAGACTCTTGTCACCAAGAACCTTGAGTGTTTGTCCTCTGAAAACCTTTGTTGTAATTAACATCTGGAATTGCTATTTTATCACACAAGTTTTCTTTTAGCAATGTAAGATACCCAGAGTACACTAGCTTTTTTTTGATCTGGAGTTTGAACTTGAAAATGCTTGTGTCCTTTCATATGAGGCCATGAGGTTGCCACTGACATGAGAGATTTCTTCTGATAAAAGTAAAGATGGAAAGAAAGGATGACTTCATGAGGGACTGGGGAGGGTGAGGGGAATTTGCGTGTCTGCTAGTGGAAGATAACACAATAGTCAATGAGGTATACACAGCAAGAAGTAAGAATATTTATTTTACTGATTAAAATTTTAGTGCTGTTCTTGGCAAGGAGTATTTCCTTTAATCTGGAGCTACTCTGTTTATTCTTGAGGCAAATCTGTCTGGAGTACAATAGAACTCTCTTCATAAAATGTTTTCAAAGGGTGCTGACACAGTGGAGGAGTTGGGCGTTTGATCTGTAGGTTTGTATTTATATAGATGTTGGACATACTATTTTTTTTTTGTTTTATATATACGTATGTAGACTACTTTGTACTGGAGAATAAAATGTTGGCCTGGAAGCAATGAAATTTGTTTCCTGAATGGTAGATGTTTACATGGAGCTCATATGCTGTTAAACCCCTGTCCCTCTCCACTAACATATTCCATGCTCAAATGGAAATGTCTAGACAGACTGGATAAAATAAATTCTAGTGATATTCCATTTTACCACAGAGATGATCTTACCTCATTATTCCTGCTCCAAATTAATAGCATAAAAAAGTAGCAATAAAATATTAAAGTGACAGAGAGGAGAAATGTTGATAGTTATTCACTGTATTTCTAAGTGAGTGGTAACTTTGGTGAAGATTTAAATCTGTTGATAGTAAGTAAAGAAACATGTTTCTGTTGGTTGAGAGACAGTGTTGCAAAGTGATGTCACCCATCCTCATAACACTGTATTTCATTCTGTTGACTTCTGCCAAAATCGTCTTTTCCTACCAAGCCAAACAGAATTTTAAACCTTCATTTTCCCTGACGTGTCTTGAGTGTTTCCATGTGCTTTGTCCTGAGCAATAGCGTTTAGTGTTGGGAAAGCAAGTGGAGATTTACTGTTTCATGCTAACTAGAGGAGAATGCGTACCACAACATAATTCTCTCCTCCCTGCTAACCAGAAAGATGTGTTAGCTTATCTGCAGTGGAGATTTCCTTTGACTTGCCATAAGCATTGCAGTGGGGTATCTTTCACACTGCCTCCTGCAGCGGCAATGGGGTTGTCTGGGTAAACACATGGCAGCTGCATCTCGCAGCATTCCCAGTCTAGCAGCCAAAGTCTAAGGCCCCACTAACCCTTTCTCGTCTTACTGGGTTTCATTTCTTTGGATTTTTTGTTCTCCAGATAACTAACACCACTTTCATGATCAGTGCTTTTAACATAAACACTGAAAGCAAGGAATATGCAGCAGCTCATGCACAGTTGACTTGTGGCTGCCAGAAGAGAGCAGATATGCAAGCCAGACTGACACATTTCACGTGCATCAAAACAAGGATGAAGATGAACTTGAAGAGGAGAATAAGGAACAGTGCAATTACTTTGAGTTGTTGCTTCAGGAGAAATTATTTTGGAGCAGATTCATTCAAGGCAGCATTGTTTGTGTAATAATCAAACGGGTTTTGACTTGAAGAGGTGCATGTTGTGGACCCGAGATGAACAGTAATGGAAAAATTCAGGAGAGCAGAAGGCCTGCACAGGCTTTTCTTCCAGTGTGAGATCCCCAGTTCATTGAGAGGCCATGATTATAACTGTTTAGAAGGTCCAGATTTCAACTTACTTTTGCTCAGCAGCAAACTATGTGGACAAACAGATGTACTGAGCTGTTCCAATAGCAGCACAAGCCACTTAAAAAGGTGCTCTTGTCATGTGTTAGAAGGCTTGTCAGTCCTCATGTCAGTGGTGACTTTAAGTTCATAAATTGTTAACTACAGTAAGGGTAGCTGATGAAACCCATATTCTAACTGTTTTGTACCTCCCAAATCAGAAAGGAAAATTCATATTTTCACTAAGAAGGGGGTTTTCTAAGTCTCGGAACAATGTACAATACTTCAATTATAACTTTACATTGTTACACATGGTCAAAAAAACCCTAAGAAGGCAAAGAAATAGCCTTGCTGAGATTGTGAGGCAAATTCAACAGATTTATAGGCTGCCTGAAGGAGTGGAGTTAATATTCTTTTTCCCTGGTAAGATTCGTCAAATAGGCATATGAAAAGGACAGTAATGTTTTATTTCTTTGAGTTCCTGGGCAAGTTTTTGAGAGATGGCAACATGAGATGCTGGGCTGTGGAATTTTTCTGTTGGTTTTGCAGCATGCAATCTGTAAATCTTAATTTTACAAAGAGTAATGACGGTTTCAATAGTCTTAAGTGCCATCCACACAGTACTATGGGGCCGTGTATTTTGCTCTATAAGATTTACACATGAATGCCTTTTTACCTGCATGCAATTTCAAAAAGTGCATAGATGTCTTCAGGTTACTTTACTGTATGACTTCTTAGCCTGGAAAAGTGTGATGGTCTACATGCAGGGATTATTACTTCTGCTTGTGGAGCTATATAAAAGCAGAAGAAATGAGCTTTGACTATACAGAAGTACTTTTGGCTTGAGGTAAAAAGATCTAAAGCACAAATGAAAAAGCCTGTTTCCTAAAAAATTAAAATGCTGGAATGCTCTTCACAATAAATCGGTCAGCAAGAGGTACATAAGTCAAAAAGCATTTCACTTTGACTTTGAAAACCTCAGCCAGTTGCTGCCACTTGGTTCTCACCTTCCCGACACTGGACATTTGTTTCAGAAATAAAGGTGAGGCTGCTGAGTGGAAAGGGGGAGATGCTGAAGTAAACCAAGACCATAAAAGAGGCCATAAAATATGAAGTAGCACAGAAATTCTTTTTAAAAAAGTGCAGGCTGTTGACTGCTGAAGTATGCAGGCGCAAGTGGCCCAAAACTACCTGTCTGCATTCAAGGAGGAAAAAAATAGGCAATTGCCAGAGCCCAAGAAAGGGGGAAGACAGATAATCAAACCATTGTTGGTATGGGTTCAGAGCACTGTGGGAAATCACTTGGAGAACTGCCATCACAGCAGGTAGTAGATACAACCCCACAAACAACATAGGCTGAAGTTACTACTGATAAACAGGAGAAGGAGGAAGAATAATTAGTTCTTTTTTCAGTCCATAAATCTATAAATAGACAATATGGTTGAATCCAGATGTTTTTACTGCATTGCAACCAGTCATATTACGAAGGAAACCTTCCTGTAGATAAGCTTTCACCACAGTTTTGACCAACATTTGAAAGTCTGAAAGCTGGCTTCTAGTACAGGATGCTTCAGTATTCTTCCCCTCTTCCTCCTCAGATTCTAAAGCAGTCCCTGCTGTTGTTCCTCTTGAGCAGTCAGTATGAGATTATTTTAGTTACACAGAGTATATTATACATTTGTGGCATACATGCTTGTACATCCCTTTGAATGTGCTCTGAATAGTTGAATTCTGCTTTTCTCCGTTGTTATTTCACTTGTGAGAATTAACGTTCTGGTCAAGCAGCATTAATGAGACATAAGCAAGGTAAACCTTGGTAGAAGAGTAAAAACAAACCTGAAGAATTGTTTTGGTTTTTATTTCAACACAAGTATTCTGTATCAGATTACAACTCTGAGTATGCTCTGCTAGAAGAGGGGTTTTTATCTACTATAAGGGAAGTACAAAAGAGAGACTACAAAGCATTAAAGTACTCAGGTTCATCATCTCTTATACCTGCAGGAAAACTTGCTTCAAAATCTTAACGTAAAAAGTTTTCCATGTACAATGAGATGGAGGCCTGTTGGTGTTTCCTACTGCAGTACTTTTCTAGTTCTGTTTATCTTCTTTACGTAATTTTGTCTCTGGGGTAATTTAGAATGTAGAATTCTGATGAAATCTTTCGATTTGGAATACAGACTGAGTAAATGCATCTTTGCTTTTCTTGCATGTAAAAACCTTGCTAGACTTATAAAGAACTTTGCCACTTGTTCAGTTCATAGCCTGTACCCCTCTGTGCAGGTATCTGGTGTTTTCTGATGTTAAGAAGACTGTCAAGTTGACAAACTACTGTTAATTTGGGTTGGTTTAGCGTAGAAGAAAGAAAATCAGTTGCTGTAAATTATTTTATTAAGCCAAGAGCCTAATAAATTTATTTTGTCTTTACAGACTATTGGGAATATTCTGGAAATGCGCCAGGATTGGTAATTTTTTTTCTTTGAAATCTTTAAGACCAGTGCTTTTTCTAGAGAATGCATTATTTATTGGGATGATGTTTCTGTGTAGCAATGAAACCCATACTCATAAATCATCTTAAAAAATGCAGGTTTTACCTCCATGAAACATGATGAAGGGCTGGGGGGGTGGGGCATAACTATCTTTCTTAGCATCATGGAAGTCTGCATTTTCTAATGTCAATTCATATATGTGTTGTTATATTTGCAAAAATCTTTTGCACTTTTTACTACATGAAATAACTAAGGGCATACTTATTAACATACAAAGAAATCATGATTCCTTACAAACTGCTGTCTTTGAAATTCTGATGGACTACTGACAAAAAACAAATATTTACCTTATAGTAATAAAACAACATGGAATTCATAATGCAGTAAGGTTCTGTTTAATCACAGATGTCTTTTTTCTCTCCTTTCTTTTGCTAGCTTCTGTGCACTTAGGAATTATGCAAAGCTGTCGCTGTCAAGTGGCATCTCTGTGCAAGCTGAACAGCTCTATCTGATTTTAGACATTTTCCTATAACATTGATATTTATATTTATTTTAATCCTTAGTCTGAATTTATTTTGAGAAAGAAATGGGAATGTGCAAGAGAAGTTCAGTCTTAGCATTAAGGTATATCCAAGATTTTTAAAAAATTACAAATCCATCGTCAGAACGGTGTTCTTGAAATTGCATTGTTAATGCAGAACATTGAACTTGTAATTCTAGATCTTCCTACTTGTCACTGAACCTAAAGGAAAAATATATGGTTCCCTTTTCTGCATTCTCAGGCTTTGAAAGGGACATGACATACATTTTCCAGTATGTCAGAAAGCACTGATGCAAAAAACAGGTTTTTGTGAAGACCTGTTGTTAAAATGATTACAGATATTGTCCTATTTAGATAATAGACATAGCAGAAGCAGTTTTAATATTGAAGGATATGGAAGTTTAGTAATTGAAGGATACTGGCAAGGTGGCAGCTGTCAGAAATTAATTTTGAGCTATACCAGCAAAAACAAATATAAAAATACAGCTGCATTAAGGTTTGTTCAAGGTTGAAAAGAACACCTTGCCTTACCATCGTCTTTTTAGTTAATTGAAGTGCAAGCATATTTTTTCTATTAGCTATGCACAGCAGTTTAAAAACTATTTAAAAGAATGCACAAGAGGTTTTATGAGGTCCCTGTCAACTTGATAAAGTTAAGAACTGCAGTTCATGTGGAATATAGTCCTGCTTGCCCATCATGTAGTAACATTAACATGTTTGCATTTGCTGCATCCAAGGTAATGCATGCACTCTTGTTCTCCCTACTGAACTGCTTCCTTTTCTCTTTGTCATGTAAAGCACCAATTTCTTTTCAAGTTACATCTAGAGTTGTCCAATCTGACTTTCTTTTAGACTGACAGATGAGAAGGTAGCATCTTAACATTCCTTCTGTACGTTTCCTTACATAACTACCATATCCTCAATATGGGAAATGGGCTTTCAAGATGATTCCTATCATTCTGTTTGTATTAATCACAAAGGCATGTAGAAAGTGTAGGCTTTTAAAAATGAAAATGCCTGCTGGCTTCCTTTACGTTTAATTTGCCCAGTATGTTTAAACAACCTTTTCACATGTGCATAAGATTTTAATAATCAGCAAGTGGTTACATATTTACAAAGTTGTGCAAAATGATGTTTAATCCTGCCACATGGTGACTTCTCTTTTAAGAAAATTAAGAGCAGAGAAGTATAACCCATATGAAAATTGTAATACTTTAAACTGTAGGAGGTGGACTTCCTCAAAAATTTATTTTAAACAGATGTGAAACTGCAGACATTAATTCATTCAGTTATTTGAAGTTTAATTAAATATATGCCAGATCATGACAACATCTTGTAATGTCACTGTGGCAGGCACTCCTGCTTATGGGAGGTGTCACTACAAGTATTTTATTTTTCTTTTGCCATGGAAAGTTTGTTCCTCCTGTGTTTGAAGGTCCTGCTGGTAAAAGAGACTTTTTTTTTTTTTCCTGACAATTACACCTTAATGCTAGACTTGAGAACCTTGGCAGGTTTTTTTAATGTTTCTCTGAAAACCGCATTTCAGAAAGGATGGTTTATAGTAAAACAAAAGACCTCGCACAGCAAAAGGAAATTGAACTTTATTTAAAGCAAACAGCTCCACTGTCTTAATGCTTCCGAATGTGTAAAAACAGGAATATTCTCACTTTAAAGAGTCAATGCTGTGTTAACACTTCCTGACAGTTTTGTAGGCTGGAAGTACCATCCAGTGTAGGGGTATCTCTGCTCTCCAGAGAGAAGTCGGTGGATTCATGAAGAATAATGCTTAAGTAGAAGAGTAAAAGACTATTTTTATCACTAACCTGAAAATCTGTGGACCAGACCCTCTCCGCATGCTAACAATGTTATGTCTCTCTAGCAAAGAAACAAGACAGGCATCTGGCCATGTCTGGGCCTCTGTGAGCTCCCCAACCGGTTAGCTGGCTCCTACATGATACCATGCATAGAAGATGCACGCTGCATATAGCAGCTGTCATGGCCAGACAGCATCGAGGTACACCTCTTTGCAGCTGACACAGAACAGCTTTTGAGCAGCGATAGCCCTTAGCCAGAACTGGGAACAGAGCCAGTAAAAGATTTGGTGTCTTGTTCGGCTTTCCAATGCCTGCGTCCTGACTCTCTTTGGCACTAAGAGATGGCAGCAATATATTTTTTTTTTTTTTTTTTTTTTTTTAATGTTTTCCTGGAAACTGCATCTCAGAAAAGATGGTTTATAGTAAGGTAGAAGTCCTTGCATTGAACTTTGCTTAAAGCAAACAGCTCCAGCTCTGTCTTTATGTAGCAATATACGCTATCCTACGTTCTTAATTTTCCCACTCCCATGTGTGTTCTTCCTCAATACACAGCTATAGTTGTAATAGCATTTCTCCAGCTAGAAATGTTGAATATTAATTTGCACGTGCAAAGGGATAATTACCGTGTTGGGCTAGGAGCAAGCTAGGTCTGTTTAGTCACGCCTGAATTTTTGTTTGGTTTGGTTTTTTTCCCCCTCTCAGGTGAACGGAAGAGCCCCTACGTGGCTGTGTGCTGTGTCGTGATGGCCTTCAGCATTCTGTTTGTACAGTAGCAGCTGGAGCGTGTCCCCTACGCCCCACTACCAAACAGCAGAGCATGGAAGACCTTCTGGCAGGAAAAGATGGGAAGGTGTCATCAAGTCTCATCTCGCACATTGGATAGCCTGTCTCTTAGTGCACATCCCCACTCCCACCCCCCCACAAACAGACGGTCATATACAGTATTAGTGATCGTAATGTAACCCAACTCCAGGTGACATGTACTTACTAATGTCAAGTCAGTAGTGACACTCCTGATGTACTGAGTTTCACAGGAGCTTTTTTTACACTGTGCAGTTGAAAAGTCTTTTAAGTTTTTGTTTTATAGACCTGTTTAATGAAACTTTAAAATGGTAAATCTAGCAATAAGACCACTCTCACAAGAATAAAGAACATTGTGACTCTAGGATATGTTTACAAAAGTATTTTCAGTTCTTTACTCTCTGAACAATTCCTGTCATTTTGTGATAGCTATACTTGCATACTAAAAATATGACCTCTGGCCTAAGTTACATTCAGCTTTTGTTTTCTAAGCTTGCAGTTCCTCGAGTGATCTATCAATATTTTTATTGTTAAGATAAGATATGGATGAAGGCAGGGACCATAACTGTAGTGGTATCTGACTAGCTGCTGAGAAGGCACAAATGTGGGCTTTGAGGACCTGGACTGCTCAGTGTAAAATACCATATGTATCCATTTTTAGAGATCTAGGTCTTAGGTAAATTGTTCCCCAACTTTTTTCAATATTGTGAGAGAAGGATTCCAAAGGCTGTGCCACTGCTATTTCATGTGATACAAGGTTGCTAAATCAGCTAAGTGAACAGTTAGCTTCTTAGGAGTCTGCAGATAGGGAAGTTGCATGTCCCAATATTCTAAAGGTTGAGGAAAACTAAATTAGATTGCAGTCACTGTTAATAAATATTAGATTATCTTTAGTAATACTTTCCATTAGCATTTATTTTATAATTTTGCAAATTTTCAGTAATCTAGTAACTTATTTTAATAATACTTGACAGGTGTGTTTATGCTAGACAACTGTATGACTTCATATTTACTGCATTTGAGAGTTGTCTGTCAGCACTATTTTTTGGTGTTCTGAAAAGGTATGTCATCAGAATGAGCTAAGCTGGCAATAAACACACACTGAGAGGTATGTAACTGTTGTCATTCTTGTTTGAAAAACTTGTTTCATAGATCCAGATTACCCTGCATTTAGAAAGAAAGTGATTATTAGTTACTACCTTTGTGTTATCTCACATATACTTGCATATCTAAATCACAATCAGAAGTACTCCTCCAAAACTCTTTTATAATCTGGAGCCAGGAAAAACAGATTTCTCCAGGCCAAATAAATACCCCTGGTGGTAAACCAGACAGGTTCAGAGGAATACAGAGCTGTATGATGATGACCATACCATGCACACACAGAAGCCTTAAACTGTGCAGGAGATCTGGGGAGAGGCAAAATCTCTTTCTGCAACTTTAAATGTGGATACTGCTCCAAACATAGCATCAAAGCAACTCATTTCTGGATTTCAAAGGTGCCATTCCTAGACTGGGGGAAGGGAAATTCCTACAAAGTCTTGGGTTTTGACTGTCAGGTGTGTACATGTTCAAAATATGCAAAGAATCATCTGCTAACTTTTTATATTAAGCAATTATATTCTCATTTTAATATTTATATTTATAGGACTTTTAATATTAATAGGACTTTATTATAAATGATGGTGTTTGTGTGATATTGACACATTTCCAATTCATCCACAGCTGTTCTGTTTACCAGGTTAATTCTTAATAATCTCTTACATTTAGCTGTGACTAGGAATACCAGTGAAACAACCCAAGGAAATTTTTCATTCAGAGAATCCACAAAGTATTGACATGAAGGCATTATATTGCAAAAGCCTTTCCTGTTCACAGCATTTTATCATTGAAGAAGGTCAAACACATCTCTTCCTGTTTGTCATTTGTTGTTTGAACTTTAAAATTATTTCTTATACGGCAGTTCTTTGCTTTGTCCTAAAATGCAGGTCATTGATGGATACTTGAAGTTTGGGATTTTTTTATTTTCTACTTTATATGACATTTACAGGATATTCGTGGCATACTGGCTGCATGGTTGCTCAACAGTGCTACTTCAGCAATAAAGTAAATAGCACATTTCTCAGCAGCTGCTGGCAGTACGTCAGTTCAGCAGCACTAGGTTGTATGCAAGCATTAGAAATGATTGTAGGCAGAGATAAGTGTCATCTATGGTGGGACTGCTCAGCACTTGCCTCTAGTATGTGAAAAAAGGATCTTTAAACTCTGACAAACTTCAGTTATTTTGAAATGACTGGTTTAGGCAGGTGTTTGCCTCAGGGTGAGTTCTTTGTTTTTCAAAATTTTGGCTTTGAAGAGATTGATACCTCATCTCTTTTACTAAGATATGAAGAGAATACTGTTTTCCCATGTTAGAATCTTAAAGCCATTTTGTTTTCTTTTTCTCATGCAAAAGAGCCATGAGAAATCAAGAATACCTTGACATTTGACCGAGGTATAAATGCTGTGAGGAGGAAAGGAAGAGTATGACTTTGGGCACACACATGTGGTAAAACTTTACCACAAGTCATCCTTAAACTCTCAGCTTGAACTGTGTCATTTTCAAAGAGCAATAAAAGTTCCAATAGAGCTCTATCAGAAGAAGTGTCAGGGAAAATAGTCTTTTCTTGCACTCAGTCTTTGCTCTGAGTCCCAGACTGAGCAGAGAAGTGAAATGCTTACTACCAAATGATTTAGGTGCTAAAGTAGCCTAAAATGGCAGATACACAATTGTAGGATTTGACATAAGTTGACAGAGTAGGTAAGGGCTATCACAGGTGGCTGAGGAGGCAGCAGCAGGAATTTCTCGCTGAAATACAGGAGCTTATAACCACAGCAAGCCTGTACACCTTATCCTATGTAGTGGTGCTGCACAGAGAGTGAATGGAATAGTGATTAAATATGACTTATGCTATAATTGTGCCTGCTGTTATAGAAAAGTACTTCCATGTTGGGACTTCATCCTTTTATCTAAACATCATGGATGGTGGGTCTAACATCTGGCAAGCTTCCCCATCTGTACTTATTGCACACATTGCATGAAAGGTGAGGGTGGTGTAGGCTGTGGTTTTAAGTGCAGATCAGAGGAGGTTCCCATCTGTTTTTCTCTACCAAGGAGAGAACAATGAGAATGCAGGATTATAGAATAGCATTTTCCAGTACAGCAGCGTACCTTGGATCAAGATTATGCAACTTGAAAAATATCAAGTGTTCTCCCTTCTAAGAGTAGCACTAGCAGAAGGAACATGTACAGACCCTATGTCTGGTGTTCGGCACAGGACAGATGCACTGTGCAGCATTTTATGTTTGTGATTGGAACTCATAGAGACATACCTGAGCCATCTTGTGAATTGACAAAAGGTATACCAAGCTAAAATTAGCTAAAAATGGCATAAATTTGCAATCTTGGAACAAAATGTGGCAATCTTAATTGCTGCATGGAAATTCAAATTCACTGCTTAACAATGCAACTAATAATAAATTAATGCAGTAAAACCTGGAACATGATGTGTTTTTCTTTGAATACACAGAATATTTTATACCCATGCATGTACTTGCTATGGATTAATGTTATATTAACTTTCCTCCACATCTGCACTCTACATGACCTCAAATTCAAAGCAGGGATTTAGGAAGACTAAACTGAAAAGCAGTACTAGCCATATTGGGAAATGAGTAAGGCATGAGTAAGAGATGGGATCAGCGTAAAGGTCTGATGTTCTGGAGAGAGTGATAAGCAAATGGGCAGACATAGCTAATGGAGGAGGAAACAAAAAGTGGAGTCCAAGGATGACTCGAAGATTTCATGTTCTTGGAACAATGTTATTGTTTTATGAATGCCCTTTCTACCTCGTTAACCACAGCCAGTGAGCAGTGGAAATACACTGTCATCAAGAGGTGAAGTTGCAGTGTGGTAGAGGAAATGATTACTCGTTATTATTACTCTGTGCAGTTAAAGCCACCCTTTCCATCCTTCCCAGTGTCTCCCCAATAAATCAGTAAGGATGACGGAGGCAAAATGTCTCCAGTTCTATCTCAATTGACATCAGTGGGAGAGCCCACCATCTAATGCTTAGGAAGGCTCGCCACAATCTAGTGATTCCTTCCCCCCTTCTCCCTTTCATGCCATAACTACTCTCTGGAGAAAAAACGAAAAGAAAACCAACATCTTCCTAATAAATTAAAATGCTAACTTTGGTAAAAACCACCAGAAGCCAGGAAAGTGTGATCTAAACCTACTTCTCATACTTATGCAGCAACTTCACATCATCTAGTCAAAACATTCACAGTTAAGGAAGGTTTTCCAGCCTGGCTTTTTTCCTGCCTTTTCTTTTGTTTTATTTGAACATTGTTAGTCATTCTAGGCACAGTTAACGAGTGCTTTCAACATACATTACAAGGCCCATATAGGTTCCACATATATTTGATGGCATTTGGCTAGCTAGAAAAGTAGTTTTCCTTAAGCTCATGTAATGCAATGTAATCAGCATGCCTGGGATGGAAGATGCATCTACACATTGAAAAAAAGGTTTTGAACATGTGGCCTGAATTGTTTGCTTGACTAAAGTTCTTGCATTTCATAAATAATACCTTTTTTCGTGATGACCTGAGGTCATAAGGCAAAAATGCGTGGAGAAATACAGTCATTCTGCAAGGCCTGCTGACAGCTGGAAAAAAACACATGCTTTTGGACAGGGAGGATCTTCTTCACGTCCAAAATGACAAATGTCACACAAAGAACTAACCTGTACTCAGCTTTCAGTTTGTCAACTCTGTTTCAAACTTGAAGGGTTCCTGCGCCCAAAGGCACATCTATGTTTTTCAGTCAAATCAATATCTGACAAGATAGAATATATCTCCAGACAACTTTTGCCTAAATTTCGTGACCTCTTCATTGGCTAATAGACCACAGGTAGTCCTCAGTAAGTAACTTCTCACTTCAAGCTGCACCCTTCTGTTTGCCTGTTTAACAGTTGGAGCCCACGCTCCTCGGATGAAACATCAGTCAGACTGAGTCTTCACTCAGGCTTCAGAGACTTCCGAAATATAATAGCCTTTGGCACTGCAGCTCAC